CGAGCCTTCATGATGAGCAGTGATCAGGTTTTATGATAAACTAATGAGCTGATCGTCCACACAGGCAGCAGCTTCCTGCCACCATTCCTTCCTGCTCTGCTCTCTTTCTGCTCCTATCATGGTTTTATGTTCTTCATATCTGGTCCAGATGATGTTCTGCTCCTCGGCGGTAAAGTGAGCTTGACTTACCGAGCTGAGGACCACCGTCGTAGGACCGGTTACCCTGAGTGGGCTGTTAGGGGTAGATGTCCTGGTATGTTGCCCTGGCTTCATGGTGCAGAACCCTGGAGGCTTCGCTCGGTGCTCCAGCAGCTCCACAGAGCTCCTGAGCTGAAGCACAATCAATGTGTCTCCATGGAAACGCCTGACTGATTGAGCCGGCTGCTTTCTGTCCCTTTGGACTGACTTTAGCTCATTTTACACATTTCTTATTCTGAACAGGTTTCAAACAGAGCTGATGTCATGTTTTACGTGTTGTTGTTGTGTTGGAGTGTTGCAGGTCGTGTAGGACACGTTCTGTCAATGAGCCTTCCTGCCTGTGAGCGCTGTTCAGGAGGAGTCCTCCTCATAGGAAGCTGTGACAGTGACACAGTGAATGTGGTGGATGAATGAATGAACCTGTCGATCTGCCTGTTGTAGGGCAAAGGGGAAAGGGCCGTTGCCATGGTGCTGAAGGAGCTTCCCGGTAAAAAGGCGTCCTCTGAAGGAAACCCCCTCCTCACCGTGACAACCAAGGTTGGCATGACGACCACGTTGTTTCTTAACTGCTCAGAGTTTAATTCACTCTTTAGTTTTGTCTGCTTGAAACCTGTTTAGTTCAAACCAACGTCTCTAAGTTCAGGTTCTGTGTTGCATCATCTGGATGCTTCTGTTGGCCCGCCGTCAGTCCGCAGGGTTCAGTCCCGCCAAAGCAGAGCTGCCACGAGGAGTGAATCAGCGATTAATCACCAAAATCGATTAATCATTTTTAATAAGATAATAATAATCACATGAGTCGACCATGGAGGTATCTATTAGTAGCAGCTCCAGAACCGGCCTTCATCGAGCCAAGCGGTCCCATTAAGTCCACACAGAGAACGTTCTGATTGAATCCTGGTTTTAGCTCTGATTTGGTCGCCTCCAGCAGATTCATCAGTTAGTCGTCAGTTATTAAATTAATTTTCATTTTTAAATGTAGAAGCAGTCCAAGTTCTTAATGTGGTGATTCTTGATGTCTTTCGTCCTCTGTGACAGTGAACTGAATTCAGCTGACAAACATTTAACACTTAAGTTGCTCCAGTTCAATTAGTTTTTAGCTTTTACCAAATACATCAATTTAACAGCAAAATTATTGGTCATTAATTTTTTTGTTTTACTATATTTGTTTGTGAACATTCGACATTTAAATCTTAAAAGCAAAAGCAACATACATGTAAATTTGTCCAAAAACAATAATATTCATAAAAAGAAAAGTCCTCAGCAGCTGAATGAACCTTTTAGGTTTTATTAAGTTACATCAGTTTGAATCTAGGTTCAAATCCACGAATGCAGAAATGTGAGTTTAATTCACACACACATGAAATTAATGCAACATTTCTACAGAAACCATCTGTTGGTGAAGTGGTTCCAACTGGATCTCATTATATTCACGTTACTGCTGCACAGTCCTGCGTAGAACCTCCACCCTGGTTCTGATCCGACATTACACTCACATGTTGAAGGAGATCCCGTCTGGGTTCTGCTCCGTGTGGTTCTATTTGTTTGATTCAGACTCGCTTTGATCTCCTCTTTCTATTGGCTGAATCTTGCTCTCCTGGTTGGTCCTCTTCTCTGGACGCTGCAGCTGATTGGACGGTTTCTTTCAGGATTAAATGCGACGCTTCCAGCCGACATGTGGGCGAACACGGCGACGTGGATTAGGATTAGGAGGTGCTGATCTGTGATCAGGTTAAATCAGGCCTCAGATGGAGGTGAAGCTGCACCTTCTGTTCAGAAAACCCCAAAAACCTGAAGACACGTGAAGCTGTTTCTGTTTCCTGTGTCCGACTTCACAGCAGCGTTTTCAGCCTCGACTGGAGCATCGCAGCAGACGGAGGACACGTACTTCATCCAAATATGTTCTCTCAAGACAGAAACAAGCCACAGCAGATAATAAAGGTTCAAGAAAAGTGATGGAGTTGTCTGACAGATTATCTTTATTATTAATGTAAAAGATTTGTACTCGTGTCAGGTTGCTGCAGTGGAGGAAGGAAGTCAGGAGACAGCAGGAATGAATCACTGCAGCGCAGAACACAAGCTGCAAGACAAACACATCCAAACCTGTCCAGTACAGCTTATTTCTCTTTTTAACACTTGGTGCAGAGCAAGATGTCGTATTTTAGTGAACAATAACGTAATGAAACATAAAAACAGCACTTATTCACTCATAGCCATGTTCAGATTAGCACCTGAAGAATAACTGAGGGAAGCTGTAAATGTATTGGAATTGGATTTTTATATATATTAAACACAACATGATGAATTTCCTTGAATACTGATTTTTTGTGAGAGTGAATGTTTTAAAGGTTCAGTGATTCCAGCCTACAGTCACTTCTGAATGGCCTCCAGACCCTATAAACCAAAACAGTGGATGCATTAAAACTATTGCAAACAAAGAATCAAAGCAAGTGAAACAAAAATGTCCAAAAATTGGACAAAAAAACAATCATGAAAAGATGCAGAATTCATACAAACGGAGAAACTGGAAGGACTAAAATGTGACACGAATCAAACAAAATGAGACGAACAAAACACAGAACAATGAAAACGTCACGGACGAGAAAACAAGACGCAGACCTGTTAAACATGAATGCATGAAGCACAAGAATGAGACCACAAAATGTGACTCCAAAAGAACCAAAATTAAAAGCAAAACAAATGAAATGAGTAACGCCAATATGAGACAAAGAAGTTTGGAAAAGGCGACACAGCGACTGCACACGCTCAGATGTTTGACGCCTTGATGGAAGCAGCTCAACCTTCAGCTGATCCACGAGCCGTCCACAAAGCCAAAGGCATAAAAGCAACGTTGATCTAACGTTGATGTAGCAATATAGCGTCGATGAAATGTTGATGTAGCATTAATATAACGTTGGTTGAACATTGATGTAACGTTAATGTAGTTTAATAACATTGATCTACTGTTGATGTGACTTCATATAATGTTGATGAAACGTTGATGTAAGGATATAACGTTAATATAACATCAAGATAACGACAAAAGTAGCGCCAACGTAATGTTGATGTAACACTGACAAAACAATGATATAAAGTCACATAATGTTGACATAACGTTATTGTAAAGTTAATATAACATTGATGTAACACTGTTGCAATGTTGACGTAACGTTGAAGTAACGCTGACGTGACACAGACGTAACGTTGACGTAATGAAGTTATACTGACGTAACATTGAAGTAACACTTACGTAACACTGACATAACGTTGAAGAAACACTGACGTAACACTGATGTAATGTTGAAGTAACACTGACATAATGTTGAAGTATCGTTGAAGCAACGCTGACGTAACGCTGACGTAATACTGATGTAATTTGAACTAACGCTGATGTAACGTTGAAGTAGCGCTAACATAATGTTGAAATGACGGTGACGTAACGCTGACGTAATACTGATGTAATGTTGAACTAAGGCTGACATGACGAAGTAACGCTGTAATGCTGAAGTAACATTGACGTAACGCTGATGTAACGTTGCAGTAACGCTGCCTGCTCTCTGCCTCCAGCTGGTCGGGGAGCAGCAGGAGAGTCGGCCCCTGCTGAGCCCCTCCATCGATGACTTCCTGTTGGAGAGTCGCAGCGACACCTCGTCAGTCCGACCAATCAGCTCCAACACAGCAGGTAACTGTGAGACTCAACAGAAACCAGCTTTAAACTTTAAACATCCAGACTGGATCTGACACACAGATCCGTGTGTTTCTCATCACAGCAGCTCAGAGCGGCCTGGATCCAGGTTCACGTTCTACACTGATTCTGATTCGTCTGTGTTCTGGCTCGACATCATACACATCGTGTTTTTAGGCTCCTAATGACGCACAAAGCTGCTGAAAGACACCAGAAGACACCAAAACACACATTGTTGTTGCTGGAGAGGCCCAGAGTTCTGCCTCCTGTGAAAACGAGCCCAGATGTTAAACCAGAGTTTTCAGTGAAATGATGCTGCAGGTTTCTGTCGTTATATCAGAAGTGGGCGGGGCCTGTTTCCCTGCCCATCACATCAGCTGACACCTGCTAACGCTCACCTGTCCTGGTTCTTCTGCTCTCTAACTCTGACCTCTGTCTCTCTTTGCTCTAACTTTGTGTCCTCGTCCTTCGTCCTGCTGCTCCATCTGTCAGCTGCAGCTTCTATTAATTAACACCTCTGACCTCGCTGTCGGAGAGCTTCGTTAGCGCCCGCCTCATTTACATAAAAGCTGTCAGAGTCGGGACCAACTGAGAGCTGATCGTCTGCAGCTGCTCTGAGGAAGAATGTGAGGTTCAGCTCAAGTCTGCTGACTTCAGACAACTTCCAATGAAATTATGTTCAAGCAACAAACTAATTAAGCTACAAGAGTTTGCTGTTCCTCTGCAGTCAGAGGTGTTTTAATTAACGACACACGCTGATTACTCATCAGAACTAGTTGTTCCATGTTTTGTGGTCACAGCGTGGCAACATTAGCACTCAGAGACTCAACGTGACCACAGAGTTACAGGACTTCAGGTGATCAGCATTAAAACACATACGTTGGTCCAGTTTGCGTCTCTTCAGTAGTTTAGGAACCCAGAACAACAGATTTAAATGTCCTCACCGGTCATCAGGGAACACGAGCAGCAGCACATCTGTCAAATAAGACTTCTTCTAAACCAGTTTAATAAACTGAAGGGTGGCATTAGCATGAAGCGTCTTTACCTCATCAGAACTTTAACTTGCTTTTGAATCAACTAATGTCGAAATTTGAGTTTAGATTCCACATCATGTCGACCCATCAAAAGAACGTCAGAATGAAAAGGTTTTTCTAAATCAGTAAAATTCGATTTTGTGTGTTTCTTTAATGCGTCTGGTTCTGTTGGAGCAGGTCCTGAACCACCGTCCACACCTTTTTGTCCGTCAGTTTAGTCTCATGTTCATTTGGACCTTTCATCCAGGTCTGAGCTCTTCTGGTCATGTTGTGTCTCTTTGTGGTTGTTTGTGTGTGGCTCCAGGTTTTTTAACCTGATGTTGCCTTGGGCCCGTCTGTCCTGTCGCTCTGCAGTTCTGTCCACAGCACTGGACCTGGTGGACCTCAGCGAGCCCAGCGCCGGGGGCAGCGCCGGGGGCAGCCGGAGGAGGAGCCCTCTGAGGAGGAAGGGCAGCTCCAAGAGTCCTCGACACCGAGCGAGAGCCGACGAGACGGAGCTGATCCAGGTGGAGGTGGAACACCTGCCGAGTCCCAGAACACCTGAGAGGGTCTCGCTGGACTCAGGTGACCAAAGCAGCAGCCGTGTCCACCTAAAGAAGTCCAGATCATATGTCATTTACTTTATGTTGGCATTCGATCTGCTGGTTCTGGGTTCTGGGTTCTGGTGGCTGACACCTGGCTTCATATCTGACTGACGTCCTTCAGACGGACTCACATGTTGGACAGAAGAACTTTCTCAGCTGGTTCTGCTGCACGCCAGATTCACAGCTGCCTGTTTTTACACATTATTTTATGTTTTACATGTAAATTCAGGAGTTGCAGGTGTCTCAGTGGTTAGCACCGTGGCCTCACAGCTAGAAGGTTGCCGGTTCACGTCCCGGTGAGGACACCTGGGATCTTCCTGCGTGGAGTCTCCATGTTCTCCCCGTGCAGCGTGGGTTCTCTCCGGGTTCTCCGGCTTCCTCCCACAGTCCAGAAACATGCTGAGGTTAATTGGTGATTGTAAATTGTCCGTAGGTGTGAATGTGAGTGTGCTTGGTTGTCTGTCTCTAAGTGTAGCCCTGTGATAGACTGGTTACCTGTCCAGGTGAACCTGCCTTCACCCTGAGTCAGCTGGGATAGACTCCGCCCCCCATGACCCTGGTGAGGGTTAAGGTGTAGAGATGGTTGGTGTTCTGGAGACATTTTATTTATTGTATTTATTTATTGATGTTTTGATCTCGGGACGATAAAACAACTGAACTGAGGTGACCTCCAGAACCTCCTTCAAACTACAACAGCAGGTCTGATGTCTCAGACCTGCCCGCCGCCCACTGATGTCACATCTTCTATAAATACCTGTAAAGCTCTGAACACCTGCCCTGGTCATCATCGGGATGTCACTGAAAACCGTTTCCGCTCATTTCGTTAAAAGCTCTGAACTCAGTGAGTCGAGAGTTAAAACTGGTTTAATCTGAGCTTTTACTCTGATGAGGATTCGACTTCCTGTTTCACCTCAGCGTCCTTTCATGGTTTCTGGGACGCTTTTAGAAACCATGAAAACACGCCGAGTCCACGAGTCGGTTCAGTCGGACTTTATCTGAAAGGAAGTTTCAAATCTGACTGAAATAAACAGAAGTGAGCTCTGGTTTGTGCATCAGTGATAAAACCCAGACAGAGCTCCAGGTTCTCCTCCAGGTTCTCCTCCAGGTTCTCCTCCAGGTCAAACGTTTTCCATAAAGAAGCTGGAAACATGTTCATTTATTCCCTGTGAAGTGTCACCAGGAGCTCAGAGGGAGGTTTTAGTTAGAATATGAAGTACAGGATAAATGTTTTACCAGAACTCGATCAGACGAGGAACCTGTGAACTGAGTTAGAGAAAAAAACACAACCAACAGCGAAACTCGACAGTCATTAAGATCTGAGTGTCTTCAGGTCCTGAGGAGGATCACAGGGAGTCCAAGTGTTTCATCACATTAACACTTTGTTGTAAAATCAGCCAACCTTCATTAGTAGAGCAGCTTCGTGCTTCACACATGAGCTGGTATCAAGGATCAAACACCAGAGCACAACACAACAGGGTGGTCAAACAGAACCGAGACGGAACCAGGAGCAAGGTTAGCAACATAGAACAATAAATGACACTCAGAGATGTCTGTAGAAGACGAGACACAGCAGTAACATGAACTAACCAGGGGTTAAAGGCCAGCATATAGAATCTGATCCTGAGAAGGACTCAGATCCACGGTGGAGCTCCTTCAGAAACATCAGCGCGCAGCGGCAGCTTCTGGGTGTTCATCTTCACCAGGTTCATGTTCTTCTGCAGCTCTGTGGAACCAGGACATGAAGGAGGACAGAACTCAGAGACGTCTGACAGAAATCACACAAAGAGAACAGGAGGTGTCCAGTTCAGCATCTTTTTGTGGTCATTTGGCCAAACGATCACACAGAGATTCCTCTTCTTCTCTGAGTGCTCTCCTCCTTCATGTCCTGGTTCCACAGAGCTGCAGAAGAGAAGCAGAAGCTGCTGCTGGGGTGAACAGGAGGAACTCATCCTGATAGCTGCTGAGACATTCTGCTTCCAGACAAACAGCTGAGAACCTCCTGAGGAGTAAGTCTCTAGATGTGGAGTCAAGAGATCAGCCGACCGTTTATTCATTGACTGAGAACACAGAGAGCAGCTGAGCTTCAGAGAGGCTCCTGATCTGATGCTGAACTTTGACTCAAACAGCTCCTGTATGATGTGATTGGATGTGATCAGATGTGATCGTCTTGTTGTTCACAGTCAGTCTGTCGTCTCCTCTGGACAAATGGGACGAGGTGAACCTGGACGTGGAGGACGGCGTTCGCAGGAGGAGATACGAGAAGAGATGCACGTCCCATCACTCATCCAGCGAGCTGCTGTGGTAAACACACTTCACTGCTTCATTCAGTCTGAAGGATGAACCGCAGCCAGCAGCAGAATCCAAACAAGTTATTGATCTAAACGCAACCAAATCAAATCAAATACAAACCTCCTCAGAACATCTGGTTCTGGTTCTGCAGCACCTTTATCTACTGACCAGAGTTCTACCTTCAGACTGTGAATGTTCCAGAG